TTGTAGAGGCAGAAATAAGAAAGGTTGAGGTGTTTGTGTCTATTTACGTGATTCATTATCATTTAAAAGATTACATGATTTCGAAGAGCAAAACCTCGAGTTGATCGCCTTGGAAATTCAGAAACCTAACTCGAAACCTTTTCTTTTCACTGCCTGGTATCGACCACCAAAGTTAGATTCTCAATGCTTTAAGTATTTTGAGTTATTTTTGGAGAAAGTAGCGCCAAAATGTAAAGAAATTTATTTACTTGGCGATTTGAATTGTAACTTTTTATCAAATCCCCTGGAGTATCACACTTCACAATTAATGGATATGTTGATTAGCTTTCAGATGAATCTGGTGTTAAATGAACGTACAAGAGTTACCCCTATTTCCAAAACCTTATTTGATGTCGTGATTACCAATAGTAAAGAAAGGTTAAGTCACACAGGTGCTTATCCACTATCTTATTTATGCAATCAGGAAAATAGGGATTCCCAGGGATCGACCAAGGTTTGTTGAAGCAAGAAACATTTTGACGAATCGAAATTCAAAAAAGATCTCAGTAATGCGCCTTGGCCGTGTATTGATAATGTTCAAGACGTGAACTGCGCGCTAGCCGCGTGGACTAAAGTATTTCTCAGCGTGCTTGATAAACATGCTCCTTGCCGCACCAGAAGAATACATAACAAACCTTCTCCATGGTTAAACAGTTGATGCAAGCAGTTGATGTTTAAGCGAGGTTGGTTAAGAAGGAAAGCAACCAAAACCGGCATGCTAGAAGATTGGACGGCTTATAGAACTTCAAGAAATTTAGTCAATAAAGAGATAAGACTAGCAAAGAAAAGATTTTATCAGTCACGCATAAACGAGGCACTGGCGATCAAAAGGCGACGTGGAAAGTGCTTAATGATCTCTTACGAAAAAAGTCGTGCACAACAAAGATAAGTGAATTGAAAAGTGACTGTGGTGTGACAATCACAAATCCTGAGGACATCGCACATTACGTGAACAAACACTTCGCAGCGATCGGCCCAAATTTAGCTTCAAAGATTCAAGCTTTAATTTGAAAAAAGTGGAAGCCTCCAGTTTGCTAAAATTATTGAATGGGGTAAAAATTAACAAGGCAACTGGTATCGATAAAATATCAAATAGAATTTCAAAAATAGCTGCTCCTGTTATCTATAAGAACTTAACAGCCTTATTTAATTTATCTATCACCTCTGGTGTATTTCCATCTGATTGGAAAATAGCAAAGATCTCTCCACTCTTTAAATCGGGTGATCTGAGCAACGCAAATAATTACAGACCAATTTCGGTTTTGCCAACAATTGCACGAGTATTTGAAAGAATTATATTTGACCAGTTATATACGTATGTTAATGAGAATAACTTTCTTCATACGTACCAGTCCGGATTTAGACCTCTTCATTCAACTCTTACTGCCTTACTTGATCGAACTAATGAGTGGTGTTTTAATATTGATAAAGGCATGGTTAATGGAGTTCTTTTCCTGGACTTGAAAAAAGCCTTCAATACCGTTAACCATGATATTTTACTTACAAAACTTAGATACTACGGAGTAGAAACTACAACAATCAATTGGTTCACTTCGTATCCAGAAAATGGACAAGAAGTATGTTATGCTAACCGTATCAACTCATTTATAGATTACATAACATGTGGTGTTCCTCAAGGTTCAATATTAGGGTCCGCTGCTCTTTCTTATATATATAAATGATATCTCTAAGTGTTTAGATTTTGGGGTAGCAAGATTATTTGCTGACGATACGAACTTGACATTCTTAGGCTGCAGTTTCCCTGCCCTGCAGAATAAAATGTCAAAGGATCTCAGGGGCCGTATAGCCTCTTGGCTTTCAGCCAACAGGCTTACCCTAAATGTTTCAAAAACTGATTTTATGGTTGTAGGATCATGACAAAGAGTGGCGAGCCTGGAAGAGGATATTGCTCTTTCTTTGTTAGATACGGAATTGGATAAAGTCAAATCCGTCAAATGTCGGTGTAGACATCGATGAATATTTAACTTGGGATAGCCACACGCTAAGTATAAGACAGAAGGTTACCCGTAATTAATTTTAAGTGTTCTAACCTCCCGGTTAGCTCAATTGGTTAGAGGGCTGGACTGTTGTGCAGGAGGTCGAGGTCGATGGTTCGAGCCCCGGCCGGACCAACACTCAAGGTCTTAAAATAACTGAGGAGAATGATATCTAGTCTTCTCGGATAAGGACGAATAAACCGTAGGTCCCGTCTCCTGCATAAATTAATTAGTTAGTTTGCAAT